CCAACCATGAATGTCTATTAACAGAAAGTGCAAGAGCCCAGTAGTTGTTCAGTCCACAAGGCTGGATGTCTCGGGTGGTCTTCAGTATACATTGGAATCTCAGAGAAGTAGTCTCTAATATCAGTGCAGGATTGTATTTACCAGCAAGGGTAAATACTTCCTTCTTCCTTGTCCTTTAGATAGGCTGCCATCAAAAGGCAAGGCCCAGACATAAAACAGATCTTCCTACTTTAAATGATCTGGATTTAAGATGGATTCTCCCACTTCAAATGAATCAATCAAGAAAATCTCTCACAGGTGTACCCAGCCACTTGGGTTTTAATAAAGTTAACAACCAAGAATAGACATCACAGTGCTCATCATAAAGTTTTGCCAAACTGAGTAGGTATATGAGTCAGAATTTCAGTGACTTCATTTCTTCTGAAATGTCCTTTGAATTTACTAACTTATGCTCACTTAGATCATTTGCTATCTTGTGTCACATCTCTCACTAAGTTACTAATCAGAGAGCAAGGGGGATACTAGAGACTATTGCTTCAAACACAGGCCTTGTTTATTTTTGTTCATTATTTCCTAATGAACCAAGCACTGCTCTTCTGATCCTCAAAACTCCAGAACAAGGTTACTGGGGGCAGAGTATTGCCTGTGGCTCAGATATTTGTGCTGTCTTGTAATGGCCACCAAGTGTCACTCTTGCTCTTCCTTCTGCTTCTAAAAAACATGTTAATCGGCAAAGCGACCCTTGTCTCAATCCCATTCCTTCTGGTTCCAATTATTATTTTTTCTTAACTGGATTTTTGTCTTGCATTATCTGAACAACTCAGAGCTTCTAGTTTGGATTCTGCTGTTTGTGTCAATGACATGAAGATGAAAGAGCATGTTACATCGTTACATTGATGTGGTGGCTGTGGGCCCTTGTATCTTGTCATCTGGGCGAGCAGGGTCACCTAGCTCATTTCTCACCCTATGGAAATCACTCTGACATCCCTCTTTGCAGGTGACCATTTAGACTCAATCCCTTATAGATTCCTGTTGATAGCAACAAAATGCTGGTTATTTATAGCAGCGGAACTGTATAATTTCAAAGAGTTGAACAGTTGGGAACTCAATTTTCTTATGTCTAAGGCAAATTTCAGAAGCAAAATATAGAGTATACAATAGAGAAATGACTGCATTGCAATAAGAAGCCACCATTTGTTAGAATCATGGTGGCAAGATTCAGAAATGAGCAGCGTTTTCATTCTTTTAACTTTTATCTTCTAGATTACTGGAATGGATAGGACAGCGATCAGTAAAACTGTGTGTAATGAGAAAGAGTTGATGTTATTGCGAATGGCTACCTCAAGTTCAGTTAGACTTAGATAAGAATGCACTTTTTAAATTCTTTTAAGCTCTTTTAAAATATACATCTTTAATTAAAATAGAACTATATCACTGTCCCTTTTACCCTCCTTCCCTCTAGACCCTCCCAGGTACCCTATCTTCAATCTCTCTCATGCCCCCCCTCTCAAATAGACAGTTTCTCTTCTTTGTTTATTATTGTTACCTACATATGCTTATATATAGGCATATATATGTATACATATGTATGCACAAATATGTAACTGTAGCCTCCTGACTCCATTTTTGTTGTAAACAAAATTTTCTAGAATGTGCAGTCCCAATCTCATGGCCAATAGATAGAAAGCCATATTTTGAGTGTTCAAGCATGACAGGATTTCCCACAACTCTAAACCTCTCCAATTCATAAAAATGAGACTGAAGACCTGGTATTGGGTCTAATCCCTCCAGGCTTTGCTTTCGCTCCTCAACACATACCTGAGACACCATGATTATTCCTAGGCCACTTAAAGAACAAGAGCCAAGCATGAGCATACTTACTAATCAGATAGGAAAAGCATCACAACACTGTTATCTCACTGGGTGTGCTACAGAGGATTGCCAGAGATGAAAGCAGAACACAGGATGGTGTGTCTAGTTGTCCATTCAAATACAGATGATGATCTTGTCTCTTTACCCTCTCTCTTTCCTGTTGTTCCCCTGAGGCAGACTGGACTTTTCTTGTCTCCCTCTTCTCTTCTGTCCTCTCTCTGTCTCTGTGGATCTTTACCTCTTTTCTCTTTCCTTCCTCCTCCCTACCCTTTCCAATAAAACTTTTCTCTTAAACTCTGTCTGCCTGGCATGTTTGTCCCCAGCTTTCTTCAATCTCACCAGCCATGGAATCCACCAAGGTTCCCCAAACGACTTATTCCTAACAGGAACCCAATATGGCATCTTGCATGAGGAGCTTGTTTTCTGAACATAGCAGATACGTTGAATCTTGCCGGAGGTTTCTAAACAATTCCACGGAACACCAGTGCATGCAGGGATTCATGGACAAGAAGCTGCCAGGCATAATAGCAAGGATTGGAGAAACAAAAGCAGAAATTAAGATTCTGAACATAGGTGGAGGTGCAGGTGAAATTGACCTTCAGATTCTCTCCAAAGTCCAGACTCAATACCCAGGCATCTGTATCAGCAATGAAGTTGTTGAGCCAAGTGCTGAGCAAATTGTCAAGTACAAAGAGCGTGTAGCCAAGACATCAAACACGGAGAATGTAAAATTGTCTTGGCACAAGGAGATGTCATCTGAATATCAAGAACAAATACTGCAAGAAGAACCTCAAAAGTGGGACTTTATTCATATGATTCAGATGTTGTATTATGTAGAGGATATCCCAGCTACCCTGAGATTCTTCCATGGTCTCTTAGGTGCCAATGCTAAGATTCTCATTATTCTTGTGTCAGCAACTAGTGGCTGGGACAAACTGTTGAAAAAGTATGGCTCCCTCCTACCCAGGGATGACATCTGCCAGTATGTCACTTCCTCTGATCTCACTCAGATACTGGATGACCTGTGGATTAAGTATGAGTGTTATGTCCTTGTGTCCACCATGGACATAATAGACTGCTTTATTAATGGCAATGAAAATGGAGACCTGCTTTGGGATTTTTTGATAGAAACCTGCAACTTTAATAAAACAGCACCACCAGATCTTAGGGCATTAATTATGAAAGATCTTCAAGAACCTGAATTTAGTGTTAAGAAAGAGGGAAAGGTACTTTTTAACAATAATCTGAGTTTTATAGTAGTTGAAGCATACTATAAGTCACCAGTGTTCAGAATTTATATCTTGAACAATTGTTTATTACATACTGATTTACATATCAAACACATATTTACATACTAAAGTTAAAAATTAATCTTATAATAAGGATATATTCTCATTTCTTATGAATGAAATCTTCAAATTTCCAAGACATTCTTGGGCTTCTACCAGGATCATGTGGGCTACTCCCAGTTATATCTTGTCCAGTTAGACTAAACATTACCTAACTGGAAACATATGGCTTGAGTTTCATTGACTTACTGATAATAAAATCCTTTCCATTTTCTTATTGTACTGGAAGTTCTTAGAATAGTAAGAAAATATGTGCCATCTATATTTTCAGTAACAGCAAAGTGACATTTATTGATCCTATCATCACAAAAGTAAATATAGTTGTACTTGTAAAGAAGTGTTTATCTCTCTCTACTTTTCCTGTAATAGTTTCTATCATACTTTTTATTAATATCATCATAAACTTAGAGGCTAGTGGGATGGTTGTTCCGAGGACCTGGGTTCAGTTTTCAGCACACATGTCCTATACCTCACAACCAACTGTGTTGCCCGCTCAAGAGGGTCTGATCCATATTCTGGTCTCTGCTGGAATCAATACTTATGTGAGCATATCCTTCCCACACACATAAAAATAAAATAAATCTTTAAAAAATGAAAAAAGATGATGATCTAAGGTCCCAGTGTGCACTGACACATAAGCAGAGGCTAACACATTCTCCTATGCTCAGGTTAGGAAAGACCAAGGGAGTTCTGGGCAAAGAGCTGTGGATGTGGAATGGTCATAGAAATGAAGACATTTGTGTCCCCTATAAGTGTGTGCCAAATGGCATCCACATGGGACCAGTACCTATTGACAACACTACAAGGAAGTCAGGGAACTTATACCTGGATCCAGTCGCTTTCCCCCACCACTGACCTAGAACTTAAGGTATCAGAGCATAAAGTGGCTATAGTAGTTGGAATGGAGGTTATGTGTAGGCTTGACAGCAGGGTCTTCTCTTACATTTCCTTCTTTCTTTCTTTAGAGTGCCTTTGTATGTGAAGGGATGATATACACACATGCACTCTGCATGCCACAGTGTAAATGTGGAGGCCAGGGGACAACTAAAGCAAATCTGTTCTCTCCTTCCACCATGTGGGTCACATGGATCTAACTCAGGTCTTCAGTTTGGCATTATTATGTTATCTGATGAATTCACTCCCTCTCTCATATAATTAGTGGCTGTCTCATTATCTAGGTTGATATGGCTACTGCAATATAGAATGCATGACATAAAAGCATAGGTCGATACCAGGTCTATGTGTGGTACAATTTCAAAGAGCCAACCCGGTAACCTAGTCACAGGTTAATTAGATTATCCTACTCCCATTTTTGATTTATTAAGGGACTTCCTTCCTTGCCTACCATGTTTCCAATAGCACTCCCTTGTGGGAACAAACCAAATTCCCTTTGGATTCATTGCCATATTCTACCTTAATCTGTGGTGCTGTAGCAAAATACTTGGAACTGAGAAATGAAGTACAATAGATTTAATTATTTCTTATAGTTGTAGAAGCTTCAAAGTCCAAGTTAAGATGCCAGAAAGATTGGTTATCTAGTGAAGACTTCTAAGGTGGTACCTAGAGTCTTGTATCCTCACATAGTACAAGACCATAAAAGGACGAAACCAGGAGTGCTATGTGAAGCCTCTTCCGTAAGTCGTCACCCCAGTGCAGTCCCTCATGAGCTAATGATCCCCAAAGGCCTCACTTTCCAATCCTGGTACACTGGAAATTAAATTCCAAACATGAATTTTTATGGGGAGACAGACATTTGAACCGTAGTGCTATCTAACTTAACTATGCTCTGATTGGGGACTACACTGTACAATAAAGTAAAACAATGGGTTCAGCATCCTGAAACTCACTAGTCATTCTACTGAGGCTGCTTTAATATAGTGCTAGGTTACCTGCTAGGAAACCTGAAGGGCTGGAATGCTGTCTGAGCTGCAGAATGAGATTCTTGCTATACATAAACAGAAAATATGTAATGTTGTTTTCATGGCAGAATGCACGAATTCAAAAAGCAAAGGGGGGCATTGCAGCAGCTCCCATCACCATTATCCCTAGCAACTCACTTGACATTTGTATCCAGTGTCCATAACTACAGAGTCTGGATGCCCTTGTACCTCAGGCAGGAATGCTTCTACATCACCAAATTAACATTACTTTGCACTAGTGCATAAACTGAAGGAACTATGTGTGCTGTGTTTTAGGTCATGAACTCTTTATCCATTGCACCATTTCATCCAATGGTTTTTGCTGTGTGCCTGTCATTGCCCACACTTCTCTATGCCATGGGAATTACATAAGCAAGTCACTTTAACATCCTGGGTTCATGGTGCTCTAGCTGAAGACTGGAGGGAGGGAGAGAAAAAAGTCATCATTTTCATCCTCATTACAATTTCTTCCTCCTGCCATTGCTAATCTCCTTATTCTTCCCAGATAGTTTCCTCCTGTTATATAACTTTTTTCAGATGTGTGCAGGTCTTGTGCAGGTAACTGTAGCTACTGTGAGTGCATGATGCACTGGCCACACCTTATTCAGAGGACAGTGCTCCTTGGCACACTTCCCCATCCCCCAGTCACTTATAGACTTTTGTTCCTCTTCTGTGATGCTCCTAGGGCCTTTGAGGGGTCATGATGTTGTGTAGGACTGAACTTCATTTTTTTATTTTTATTTAAATTAAAACCAATCTTATTTCACATACCAATCCCAGTTCCCTCTCCCTCTTGTCCTCCCATTACCTCCCCCATCCCCCATCCCACCCCCATCCACTCCTCAGGGAGGGTGAGGCATCACATGAGAGATCATCAAAGTCTGTCATATCATTTGGGGTGGGACCAAGGCCCACACTCCTATATCTAGGCTGAACAAGGTATTTCTCCATAGGGAATGAGCTCCAAAGTCAGTTCATGTACTAGGGATAAATACTGGTTCCACTGCCCCACAAACTGCCCAAGCCCCCCATTAATGACTACCTTAATTGCCATCATAAAGCCTCCATCCAGTAACTGATGAAAGCAGGTGTGGAGATCCATAGCTAAGCACTGGGCCAAACTCCTGAAGTCCAGTTGTAGAGATGGAGGAATGATAATATGAGCAAAGGGGTCAAGACCATGTTGGGGAAATCCACAGGGCTGAGCTTTCAACAGTCATTTAGTTTCAGCACTACCAAGGTTATGAGTATCTGCATTAACCACTGCACAAAAATGTTTCTCTGACCCAGGATGAAAGCAGTACTAGTCTGGCAGGTTGGTTTTGTAGAACCCAAGCTTCACAGACGAGTAAGTTCATCTATGGCTTTTCTCCCCATGCATCCTGTAGAACACTTCCTAGCACAATGAATGCTACTCAGCATGGAGGAAACCTCTAGCTCAGTTCCGGATGGATTTCCCTGTGTCTGTAACCCAAGTATCTGGTGTCTTCAGCAAAAGAGCTGTGCTACCTAGTTTTACATCAACTTGACCCAAGCTATAGTCATCTGAGAGGAAGGAACCTCAACAAGGAAATATTTCCATAAGATGGAGCTGTAGGCAAGCCAGTAGGGCATTTTCATAATTAGTGATTGAGGGGGAGGGGGCAAGCTATTGTGGATGGTGCCAGCCCAACCTAGGTTCTACAAGAAATCAGGTTGAGAAAGCCATCGGGAGCAAGCCAGCAAACAGCATCCTTCCATGGATTCTGCATCAGTCCTCCTCTAGGTTCCTGTCATGTTTGTGTTCCTGTCCTGACTTCCTTCCCTGGTGAAGTGATATGGAGGAGTAAACCCACCTTTCCTCCCCAAGTTGCTTTTGGGTAATAGTAAACCCAAGGCAAGAGTCTTCAGAGTTATTGGCCAGGGAAGCTTCAGAGGCTTCCAAAACATTATAGGCTGCTGTTTTTGCACTTAGTTGCCACTAGTTCTCTTTATTACTTAACTGAATAGTTATTCTGCACAACTGACATCTTGTGAGTTCTGGTCACCCATTCCTTTATTGAGACTTAGTAATATTGCCACTATCACAATAGTACTCTATATAGTTCATGGGGTTTTTTTATACCTCATTCTTCTCTTGAAAATGATCTACTTAGAAACCCTTTTCAAATTGTTCTAATTTGGCACCCTAAATTTCCTAATTGGTACCTCGGTAAACACACATATGTATTACACAGTTTGTGGATAAAAAGAATCTGGTAGAAAGAAATTTCATGATGTACAAAATAAACAAAATAAAGAAACAGTTGCAAGATAGAAATTATTGTGTGGATAGAGGGATGGAAAGTAATGACACATCTGATTTAGAAAGAAACATGTGAAAATCACTCATAATAGATAGAAGTGCCAAGTATAGAGGTAAAAGTCGAGTAAGTTAATGAACTTTGTAGAACTTTTATGATTTATTTTCTCAGTGACTGAAAAAAATGAAAATTGCTTTAACAAAATAATAAATAAATACATTCCAAGG